TAATATTATATACAGAGTGTTCCATTTGAAAAATCAAAGTTGCTACTGCTTTCTAATAGAAGCGGCAACACCGCATTGTCGAAAATATTTTAGTTGGCTAGAGAATGTCCGAATATGCCCTCCATTAAATTTTCAAAGTGATCCGTTGTCTGGTTCACCAGAAACGTATAATGTGCCATCCACCGTGAATCAGCCTGTATACATACATACATGCCGACATCCTCAGCAATTTCACTAATGGTGATTCGACGATTCTCGGTAACAATTTTCTTCACCTTCTCAACATTTTCATCGGTTATTGGTGAGCTGGAGCATCTAGGGCCCGCGTCATCATTCACATCTTCTCGACTTTCTGTGAAAAGCTTGTACCACTTGTAAACTTATATCTTATTCAGAGTACAATCAATATATGCCACTGTCAAAATTTCAAGTATGTTAATGCATTTATTTCAATTTCTCCCAATAAGTTCTATGCAAATTATTTGATCCATTTTTTGGATAGTAGAAAATTGCCCAACACGCAAAACATTTCTAACTTTTATGCCTCACACCAGCAAACTAAACATGCTAAACAGCTGAAACTATGAACATATGTAAGAGAGGAGTGTATCAATATATAAAAAATAATCGAAATTGAACATTCACCTTATTTTTTGAACAGACCTCGTATATCGCTCACCTAACGAACATCCCGACGATTTTTTGAAAAAATTTGATAAAAAAATTCCAAAGTTTCAATAATGATTACTTAGAATGTTTCATTATCGGTGATATGGATATCAAAAGTATTTCATCAAATGGAATTTTTCATGTACTTCAAATCCACTAATAGTGAACTGATTCCAGAGCAGAATTGACCCGTTATTTGTGAACTCCTTGTAATGGAATCATTTGAGTTGAATAAAAGATTATCGTGAGAGGAGACTTCTGAACTAGAAACTCATTCCAGAAACTCATTTTTATATAATTGATTCAATACACGTGATATGGAGTGTTTCAAAGATATTGGTTTCCAAAAAAAAAAAATCAATATAGTTATGTAATGTGTTTTTTAATTGAATTTGAAGAAACCAAGTGTTGATTTGTATAACTAAAAAATATATTAGACATATATCAGTGTTATACAACCTGAAACTTTGCAGGCAAGGTGAAAGCAATTACTACTTGATATTCCAACCTAGTTTTCTTTTACTTAACCTGAACACAATAAATAGTGATAAAATTAATCAACTTTATATCGACTCAATTTGTTGTTTTTATGTTTGATAGACATAGGTACAACATTGGCACATTTAGATAGTTTGCATATTTTCCAATTAGTTACTGCAGACAAACCATCAATCGAAAAGGAATTGGCATATGGACACATAACAAATTTCAAATGTATCCCATTGATTTGTCAGAATTTTGAAGTGAGCAAAATTTTGAATTTCATATAATTCAATATCCGGCGTTGTACTAGCCGAGGAAGTAGTTGTTTTCCGGTAGTCATTGACCAGAACCTACAGTGTAGGTAGTTGGGAGAGAGGAGTATTTCGAGATTTTATTTCAAAATATGTATTTTCTAGTACGTATGCATCTCTCCTTGATACAGTCTTCAGAAACAGATCAATATATTTATTCAAATGTGGATATTTTATGAGAAAAAAATATGTCCACATCTGCAACTAATGCATCGTCCCATAATTATTGCACACAGCATGGTAATTTATTGAGAATACAACCCTTCCTCATCTTAATTTAAGAACTCTCTCCAGTACAGTACTATTAAGCTCTATAATGAATTGCTTAGTTTTTTTTTTAATTCCAAAGAATTCAAAATAGATATAATATATAGGGTGTTCTATTTCCAAGTTGATGTCTGTTACATGTAGATATGGCAACAATGCGGCTATGAAAATTATTTCAAACCATATATTACAACCATCTACATCGGTAATCAAAATTTAAAACTCCCATCTTTTTTTGTTCTCTAGATACGTCTAATAGACTATCGAATATGGAATACCCTGTATATTGTACCACAGTGGCCTGATAAATATTGAAGTTTTTTTTTTGGAGTGATCAACAAGTATTTTAATTTTTGAAACGACGAACAGAAGTTCCACTGAGTTCATTCGAAAGAACTTTGTGTGTTTGTATTCCTTTTAATACTTCGTTGGGATTATATGTTGTCTGGAATAATGAAGACATAGCTTAGGCAGAAAGAAGGACCTCATCCCTAGACGATCGAACAAAATTATAATTGTAAAGATATGGGGTTCTTTTCTGATAACTAGAAATGAAGAGACATATCACATTATTGAAAATCTCTGTTGTTATGAAGGCTAGTTGGCTTTCCTAATATTATAAGCCTTTTAGTTTAGATTAGAAGAAGATTCATCATCAATATCATTATTACTGGGTGACACCGTTCTATGAAATCTTCCATTTGTGAACGCAGCTTATAGTTTAAAATTCAATCTGCTCTCTTTGAATACTGTTGCTAGATACTATTTTTCATTTCAGGGATGGCACAGCTTCGGAGACTGTGGTGCTTGCATGCAAGTTGTGCGGTTTTAGAGCAAATAAATTCGCACTAATTCAAAATCATCTATGTTTTTGTATCACTGGCCAAAGTCTACTCAAAAAAGCCCTTGAGAAAAATACACAATCAAGAACTAAACGAGTACCAAAAGCTACACCACCGCCAGTAGCCAAACCACCACCACCAGTAGCCAAACCACCACCACCAGTAGCCAAACCACCACCACCAGTAGCCAAACCACCACCACCACCACTAAATTTACTACCACGTGGAACTACGAAAACTCAGAAGATCCATAGATCACTTTTGAATCCAGAATTCCGAATGCTTTTTGTCTGCACATGTTGTGAATACTCATCAACTAGCAGAGAAATTTATAATATGCACCTATTGGTATGCCCAAAAGCTAAAATGATGCAATATAACCATGCACTGCGACCCAATGAAACGAAGAAAGTTGAGAAGTCAAAAGAAAATTCGAAAACTAATGAAGTGATTGATATAGATGATGAACCCACTTCGGAAAAGGCTACCAGTGATCTGAATTCTGCATCGCAGACTGATACATCAGTAAAAAATGGTGTTCACCCAACCATACCTCCAACATCTTCGGGTACCGAATCATCTGAACTTGAGAAGTTACCTCAAGCAGAGGCGATGGAGGAGTCCATGGAAACAGTTTGTGATTCCAATACGCAAGGAAAACAAATTGTGTCCGATCAAAGTTTGACAACCTCTGAAGCTGAGCTTGGTGACCCGCCTTTGAATGAAAATGTAGACACCAATTCAGACCCGCCATGTTCCCCATTAGCTGCTGATGAACCAGTGTCAGATACAGATTCGCAAGTGTCCAATCAAGAGTTATTGAAAAGAGAAAATGAAAGTGAAGATATTGCGATGATGACTGAAGATCTACGCTGTAACATAACAGAAGAAGAATTGCCTAAGTCCGATAATGCTTCAGACTTGACAAAGTGTAATAAGGAACAAAACTCATTGCAAAGTGAAAATAACAATAGAACGATACTTTCAGATGACCAAACTCAGATGACCAAGATAACAGAATGTCAACTGTCCATGTCTAATACCTTAGGAAAAAAAGAGCAATGTGGGGAGAAAAACTTATTGCAAAACCAAGATGAGAATGGTAGTAAAACCGTACTGTCAGATGATGAATACTCCAAGGTAGAAATAGAACAAAGCCAAAATAATGATAACAATATATCCTCAGATGATCATTACTCCAAGACAGATGAGAACCAACTGTGCAGTTCAAGTCAAACAGAGGTAACCAATGAAAAAGAATCGGTGGAAACAAAAGACCACCTACCTGAATCTGATAACAAACAAAACAAGAACAGTAGTATGATGCTTCCCTCAGACGATCAACATTCCAAGACAGCAGAAGACGAACTGTCTACGTCTGATAATTCATCAGGTCAAACAGAGCCAACAAATGAAGAAGAATCATTGAAAAATCAAAATGAGAAAGAGAAAATGGTGGTGTCCTCAGGTGATCAGAATTTAAATTCTTTAGAAGACCAACTACTTGAGTTTGAAAACTCAATAGGGGAAACAGTTCAAAGACAAATGAAGGACAGTGATATGACGCTAGTCTCAGAAGATCAGCATTCCAAGGCAGCAAAAAGTCCACCCTGTGAGTCTGGTAATTCGCCAGACCAAACAGATGCAACTGATGAAGACGAAGCACTGGAAAAACAGAATGAGAATGATAATATGGAGGTTTTTTCAGGCGATCAGAATTCTAATGCTACAGACGACCAACAGCCTGAGTCTGAAAACTCGATAGAAAAAACAGATCAAAGCCAAATGCAGGACGTTGATATGACGCTCGTTTCAGAAGATCAACATTTCAAGACAGTAGAAAGTCCACCCCCTAAGTCTGATGATTCACTAGACCAAACAGAGGCATCTAATGAAGAAGAATCACTGGAAAAACAGTACAAGAATGAGAATATGGAGGTCTCGTCAGGTGATCAGAATTCTAATGTTACAGACAACCAATTGCCTAAGTCTGAAAACTCGATAGAAAAAGCAGACCAAAGCAAAATGGAGGACAGTGATATGACGCTAGTCTCAGAAGATCAGTATTCCAAGGCAGCAGAAGGTCCACTCTCTGAGTTTGATAATTCACCAGACCAAACAGAGGCAACTAATGAAGAAAAATCACTGGAAAAAAAGAACGAGAATGAGAATATGATGGTCTCCTTAGGTGATCAGAATTCCAATGCTATAGACAACCAACCACCTGAGTCTGAAAACTCAATAGAAAAAACAGACCAAAGCCAAATGGAGGACAGTGATATGACGCTAGTCCCAGAAGATCAACATTCCAAGACAGCAGAAGGCCTACTCTCTAAGTCTGATAATTCACCAGACCAAACAGAGGCAACTAATGAAAAAGAATCACTGGAAAAAAAGAATGAGAATGAGAATATGATGGTCTCCTCAGGTGATCAGAATTCCAATGCTATAGACGACCAACTGCCTGAATCTGACAACTTAACAGAAAAAACAGACCAAAGCCAAATGGAGGACAGTGATATGCCGCTAGTCTCAGAAGATCAACATTCCAGGACAGCAGAAGGTCTACTCTCTGAGTCTGATAATTCATCAAACCAAACAGAGGCAACTAAAGGAGAATCTGTAGTCTACTCAGATGATCAAAGTTTGAACCCAATAGAAGACCAACTGCCTCGATCTGATAACTCTTTACGAGCTATTGAGAAAAAACAATGTGAGAATGATAGTGTGACTCTACCCTCTTGTGATCAATATTCAAATACAGCAGAAGACCAATTTTCCAAATGTGATAAATCATCAGACCAAATGGGGCTAACTAGAGAAGGAGAATCAATGGGAAATCAAAATGGGAGTATAGGTTTATCCTCAGATAGTCAACATTTCAAGCCAGCAGAAGACCAACTGTCTAAATCGAGTAATTCACCAGACCAAACAGCTAAAGAAGCAGAATCATTGAAAAATAAGAATGAGAACAAGGTTTCTTTCTCAGATGATCAACATTTAAAAGCAGCACAAGATCAACAATCCAAGTCAGCTACAGAGTCATCAAGAGAAACCGACTTAATCAAGGAAAGTGAATCGTTAATGAACCGAAATGAGAAGAGTACAATGACGAGACTCTCAGATGATCATAATTTTGATCACACAGAGAACCAATCATCCAAGGCTCATAATCCACCACACCCAACAGAGCAATCTGGCAAAGAATCTTTCTCAGATAAAGGAACAACTTTGACGTGCGGATCAACTTGTGAATTGATTGTGAACGACAAAACCTCAACAGAAACACCTTCTGATGTAGTGAATGAGACAGATGATGAACTGCTAGAAATATTTGTTTTATTTTGCGATTCAGAGACTGGCGATGATGTATCCTTGTCAGATATACCTCGAGACCCATTATACTTTGACGAGTCTCTTTTGGATGGGCCATTAATTCAGGAACCCACAGACAAACAACTATCAACAAGTTCTACATGTTCTGCTGTTTCAAAAGATGAAATAAAACCTACAAGCAAAAATGTGAAACTAGATAAAGAGCTTGTGATATATCTGACTAGGGATTTTGTAGTTGAAAATAATGAAATCTATCAACAGAAAAAAATGTTGGTTATATCAAAAGAAACAGAAACAATAAAGAAAAAAACATTTAAAGGAGGATATCCTATGAACACAAATGGGAATTCTTCATCTACTGAATCTGGTGAAAAAGATGGTCAAAATACTAGAGATGAATCGACAATGGAGATTTCGGCTAGGCAAACGTCTGATGATGATGATGATGATGATGAGACTCCCATGGACACGATGGAACATTCGGATATATCTGAAGCAGATGAGGAGCCCCCACCAATCGACAAATCTACAGAGTTGGTGAAGAGTTCTTCAACCAAAGTGAGTGATAAAAAATCTAAGCTTCCAGAAAAAGCTAAAGGCAATTTGAGTGGAAAAACATGTGAAGATGAGTCCCCAGTGGAAGTTGCAGAGTCTCTAGCAACCGAAAAAATTAAACCAGCAAATGAAACTGATGACAAAATGGTAAATACTACGTTCACAAAAAGTGCTGATGAAACCACAAAGAAGGCTTGTTTTCCATCATCTTCAAACACATATTTGAGAAGAACAACAGAGAAGCTTGGATCCAAGATGAAACCACTAGTAGTTCCTAAAATTGAAATACCTAAAGATCTTGCAATTTTTAAATGTGATTCTTGTTCTTTCAATACCAGAAACCATTTCAGAATGGAGAACCACGTTTTGTCGCATTTTTCACAGTTCATAAAAAATAAAGAATATTTGTGTGAGAAATGTAGAGTTAGTTATGGGACTGTGGGACTATTCTATGATCATCTCAAAATGAGACACACTACGTTCAACTACAAAGTATTCTTCTGGTGTGTGAATTGTGCTTTAGTTTTCAGGCAGAAACCTGACCTGACTGCACATTTACGTAAATGTCTTAACAAAGATAAAATTGTGAGGTTGTTCAAAAGCAATCTTTCCATTTTTTGTATGATGTGCGAGTACGAGACAAATGATGTGAATCATGCGAAAACTCATCTTCAACAGTGCCGCCAAAAAAATGCATTTGTGATTCCAGATGTTATTGAAATTGATTAGAGTATTTTTTTTCTCACAAAGAATGTTTGTAATATATGAAGCCATCAAGTGAAGTGACTCGCGATATCAGTGTTGCCTCTGATTGGCATTGAATATTTTTTTGTATTCCTGGACCAACTGAAAATTCAGATATGCTTTGTGTTACCGAGGTACAAAAAATCGTGTAAATAATAATAGTGAAACTATCTTTCAAGAATACCAAAAAGGTGCTACCATTTTGAGAAAAAGAAAACTATTATTTGACAATTTCAGAAGTGTACAGAAATGTACAGATCTATAAACTTGACTTTCCCATTAAAATGTTTCAAGGTAATATATTTTGTACTAAAGGTAAAATGTATAGTGGTTTTTCTTAAATAATTACTCTTTCGAGATATTAATTCTGATGAAATAGGGAGAGGTATTATTTATTTTCTTGATACAGGTCAATTTAATATCAATTTTCACTATTGGGGCATTCAAATAGGAAAGATATACAAATTAACCAGACCCAAATGTTTTTTTCTGTTGACATAAAAATAAAATTTTCGTTTTTTATCACTTCTTGTCTGAAATTGTATATTATTCAATAATTCATGAGAATTCTATGTCAAGAATTGAAAGGAATATATTTTTAAAAGTGGGAAAGAAATGTTTTGGCTTTCTACTTCTTCATCTTTATAAAAAAAAATGTGGGAACATTTTTAAACGGATTAATGTCATTACGTACTGTCATCAATGACATGACTAAATTTAATTCATTAGTGACATTAAGTTGTAATTTTATGAATGAATTTAGTAATGTTATCCAGATTGGTGTTATTCAAAGTGGTGTTGAAGAGGCAACATATGACAAGTGTCAACAGTGTTGACAGAGCTACTGTGATAGCGAAAAATGTTGTGATATATTTTTCAAGTAAAGTTTGTGGGGATCAAATCGTGAGGCGTAGTTTTTTAAATTACTATGGATGTTCATCAAGTAACCGCCGAATCAATAAAAAAAAAAAGATTTGAAAAGGAAATTTATTAACAACTTTTAGTGGGAAAGTCAAAAATGTGTGAATAGTAGATTAGTGTGACTAATGGCTCAAAACCACTTTTTCTATCAAGATCTTTTAAATCATGTCATAATTTGGCTCGGGATGTATCCCATAATAAAGGTTTCATGATATATACTATTATAAAGGTTCATTTGAATGTGGCCGACAACAGTTGAATTTGAAAATATGTTTCACGTGAATGATTGAATAAATTCCTGAATATCGAGAATAAAGTGGTTTGTACTTCATGGTTGAAGTTCCTCTAACATTCAAATGAATATTTATTCCTAGTTCTGAATCTACTACTTTTACTTTTTTGGATGTAATGTTTTTACTGGGTGTTTAGGATCAGACCACAGGCTGTGTTACTAATATATAGTAAAATTAACCATCGGTAGAATTGTAACATTAAAGGTTATTGAATAATTTCAAATTATACCGTCTTATCTGAGACAGTTTTGTTGATATTCGTAGTAATTTTAAGTGCATGATTTAATTTTCTCTTTTTGTTACTTAGTTTTTATCTTGAATTTATTTGTAAGTCACTTTCAGAACATTTTTATATACTGTGAAATCATTTGCTCTGAAATTATGCGAATGAATAGGCTGATACTTTGTGGAAATCCATGATGAATGTGTTGAATGAAACTTTATGGTGAGATTTTTTCAAAACAGTTTGAAAAATCGCAACATGAGTTTTTTTATGCAATTGCTTCTTCAGACGAATTTCGATATTGAACATGATTGAAAAAGATACTGTATAGTGAAACGCATGTTGCAGTTTTGTACACTGTGTTGTGGAAATCGCGCATTAAAGTGTTGTTAGTACGTTTTTGCTATCACATTTTTACAAATTACTCACAAAACTGCTTTGTATAAATCGTACGAATCTCATTGTATATCAAAGCATATGTTGATTCGTTAACTAGTACAGTGAGTTGTTTTTTAGTTTTTAGCAGTTTCTATATATTTTTGTGGTCAGCTAAAAGAATTTCGGAAGGTGGCAATCGAGAAGAGCTTAACGATAATACTTTCGCCAAAATTGTTACCTTTTTTATAGTTTTGAAATTGTGAACTTTTTGATAAAAGAGTCATTTATGGCAGAATTTTTCTGTTTAACTTGTTTTTAATGCTTACTACCTACCGAAAACTTATACTGTTTACACATATTGTATATTTATGTTTTGTACAGAAAAATTATCTTGAAATTTCATTTTTAGTTTGCTTGAGAATAAAAAAAAATATTGTTCCTGATTTGAAAAACTTGGACTAGAATGTGGGTTTACAAATATTCCAGCATTACTCTTAGTGTTCTGTTTACAGTCAATATAAACCTGCTTGAAAAGAATATTTAATTATTATCAAGGTCAAATTGTGATTGAATTTATTTTATTCAAGCTGATTTTTCAACCAGATATATGAAATTTCTTATTTTAATAAAAAATTGTTCTATAAGTTTGATGAGTTTTATTAAAACATTTTGAAATTATTTTTTCCTAGCAATATTACATTAAAGCCAAAGTTATTGAAACTAGCCACTACCACTACTTATGCGTTTACACAGAAAAAGAAAAATTGACGTATTATCTTTATTCGGTATAGTCGACGCCAACTAAAGTGAGTCAGCGCAGAAACGTAAAATCGTGTGTTGAAAGACTCCGTTCACTTAAGACTTAAGTCATATTTCGCATTGTCAGCAGCGCAACAGCCAGAAGTAAATAGTCTTGAATCAGGCGTTAATAATAATGATAATAATTTTTATTAGTCTTGAGAATCACACAGTTTTTAGACATGTCAATACAATTTCTAAAATGAGTTTGAGAGGATAAGATTCGTCAATACAATTTTCAAAAAATGTTTGTAGATACATTAGATTTACAAAAAAATACAAGTTGAAAAGATAAAATTCCAATCTTATAAAAATTGACCAAAATGTAAAGCCATGGGTATTTTACAGATTATAAATCACATAACGGACATATTATATCTATTTAAAGTTGAGTACAAGTCTAGGAGGTTACAACAAAACTGTCCCTTTCTTCTTGAATAATTTTGAAAAATTGATAAGTTTTGAATTTTCTGAATGCAAGTTACGAAATTCGACAAATAAGGCATTGTATAGCTTGAATCCTATGTTATCTGTTCTTTTCAACCTATTAGCTATAGGAACAAGCTTGATTTATATCTTGTATCGTGTTGGTGTATATCCTTGTGAGCAACTTTATTCACCAAGTTCTTCATAAACAGTAACTGAATATAGGATCTTTTTTTTAAAGTTTTACAAATATTGGTCGACACTTTTCATTGTCAGAGATTATGCTTCTTAGTGCAGATTTTGTAATGACGAATATTCTATCAAGACGTACCTTCAATGCATTACTCCGGTTGATTATGCCATACCTAAGGACTGAATGAAAAGGTGAATGAAATGTTGCAAGTGACGCACATTGATTTACTGGTTTTTTATTCTTCTGATAGCAAAAACTGTTTACTGAGCTGCTTATATGGTTTATCCATTTCAGGTTGGAGTGAATCTATTTGTACTCTCAAATATTTGGTAGAATTTTTGTTATATCGATCTAAATAAAGTGTTTCAAAAGTTAGTGTTTATATTTTTTGTTCATTGAGAATCAAGTCATTTGGTATGAACCATGATCGAGCTTTCTCTAATATGTCAGTATGGATCATATGAGTATCATCCATTTTATATATCTTTTTACTCAAGGTTGCATCATCTGCATAAAATCTAGTTTCTATGTCTGACGAGTTTATCAAGTAAGGCAGGTCGTTGATATAAAGTAGAAACATAAGTGGCCCCAATATTGACCTTTGTGGCACTTCTTTTAATATTTTTATTTTTTCACTCTTGGTGTTTCCCAGATCAACCATTTATATATTTCCTTAAGGTGTGATTTCATCATATCCACTCACACATCTCACTCCATAGAAATACAATTTGGCCAATAAAATTGAATGATTTACAGAATCGAATGCTGAAGTAAGGTCTGTAAAAACGCTCACATATTTTTCTTGGTTATCAAAGGCGTCTTTTATAATGTTTCAAAAGTTAGTGTTTATATTTTTTATTCATTGAGAATCAAGTCATTTGGTATGAACCATGATCGATCTTTCTCTAATATGTCAGTATGGATCATATGAGTATCATCCATTTTATATATCTTTTTACTCAAGTTTGCATCATCTGCATAAAATCTAGTTTCTATGTCTGACGAGTTTATCAAGTAAGGCAGGTCGTTGATATAAAGTAAAAACATAAGTGGCCCCAATATTGATCCTTGTGGCACTTCTCTTAATATTTTTCTTTTTTCACATAATTTGATATCCTTCGTTAAGGTGTAATTTCATCATATCTACGCACACATCTCATTTGGGCAATAAAATTGAATGATTTACAGAATCGAATGCTGAAGTAAGGTCTGTAAAACGCTCACATATTTTTCTTGGTTATCAAAAGCGTCTTTTATACTATTTGTAAGAAATGCATTGCATCAGATGTCTTATTTTCCTTTCTAAACACAAATTGATGAAGACTCGGAAGATTATTTATATCCAAATATTTTACTAGTTGTTCGTAATTTATATGTTCAAAAAGGCTGACAGTATTGCTATCTGTCGAAAAAAAAACACCTTTTTTATGAATTGGCAGGATTATGATTATTCTCACCTCTCAGGCCTGAAAAACATTGACTTATTTGTGTTCATTTTTTTATCCAGAAAGGTAATAGGGTCAACATTAGATTTTGGATAGGGGAATAAAATTGTGTTTATATTATTGATAAAGAAGTCATTCATCTGGTTAGCTGTTAGATTTTCTGGTTCATTTAAGATTTTATTTTTCCGACCTGTTTCGAAGTTTATGATTTACCACACAGTTTTGCTGTAATTATTGATATTGTCGTTTACAAGTTTGATAGAAATTTTTATGTTGTTCAGAAGGATTTCGCCTTTGTATATCATATGCAAGTATTAAAGTATCTTTTGAAGCTGTCACCTCGGGACTTATTCATTTTGATTCTCTCTTTGATTCATCATTTGATGTAGATCAAATGACATGAAGAGTTGTGTTATTGGTTACAAATAAAAGCTATTCCTTTTGAATCAACCATGTTAAAAGTGGAGCTCCTTAGCTTGGTTTAATGTCATAAGTGAAAATTCGTCAGGTATGTCTGTGAATTGAGTCAAGTTGAAGGATTCATCACAAGAAATTACAATTGAAGAGAACTGGCTGATACTTGATGAAAATCCTTATTAAAACTCATTAATAAAGTTTATAGAGAAAGCTATTGTCTAGCGAAACACATGTCGTAGTTTTGTAAAACTCTATATAGTGAAAATCATACCATAAATTGTATTAATGAATTTAAATACAAGACCTTCAAACTGTATGAGGTAAAGAAATGCCTATACAGTGCTCTGGAAACAGTCAACCAAGAAGCTTGGGAAAAATGTATCTACAATACATTCAGAATTGAAGCAGAGATGTGGGATCTAGATTATCACGTAGACTCATTATCAGAAAAAATAATTCCAGTTGTCAATAATCCTAATGAAACTGATTCATCCAGTGAAGAATCACTCACCAATTCCCTATAGACTTTTTTCAGATTACAAATTATCGCAATATCTTATTCGATGTAAGTATTCCCAATAAACTTATAAAATTGTTTCTAAATCAACTATAAAATCCAGTAAAAATATAAATCTTCATTTCCAAACCAACAAGAAATCGTTTAACTAGTTTTCACTTATTTTTGATATGGTTTCTTATTTGGGATTGTTATCCTCCACCCACCCACACACACACACACACACACACACACCCACATCGTCTCCTTACGAACGATAACCCTCAGAAGTCGTCGAAAGGTTACATATGTTACTTGAGATGGGAGATGAGGGGAAACCCACATCCATGTCAAGTTGATAAAAGTATTCTCCAAATTGAAAATAGGTGAAAAATACTTTAAATTCACGCAGTTATACTTATCGGGGTGAACAAAAAGTTTGCCTCATTACAAATCTCATATTTTTTTAGACCGTGGAAGGTGAAAATACCCAATGAAGGTCGATAAAAAACTATGATTTCCCCTTCCAAAAATGATTTTTGTTCAATAGTTATTTCATGTAATAGTGTTATGAAAAATTTTAATTATCTATTTTTACAGTCTGAATACCACAGGAAGACGAAGCAAAGTCGAGGTTGGCCAATACAATAATGAGCGTGAGAGAACGAGAGTCAAACAAATTAATGAGGCCTTGCTCAAAATACAACACCTTTTACCTCATAACACATCTAAGATGACAAAATTATCAATCATAACAGGTGCTGTCGACTACATTGAACATTTGAATGCTCTGCTGAAGGGGAAGTGAGCGTCAATGTTGTTCTAGAAATAAACCGAGTGTCACTTTATGAAAACCTGGATGCTGAAAACGTCTGTATAGATTGAACAAAAGGAGCCAAATCATTGATTAATGATACACACGATTCCTTCAAGAGTGCAAGGCGGAATGTTTCGACAAGAAGATAACCAGAGTGCAGAGGACCTTACCTTTAATAACATTGAGATTTGAACGGCACATTCAACGTGTATGAAGACTGTTCAAAAAATAAGGTGAACGTTTAAATATCGCAGGCTACGTGAATAACTCGATTAGCGAAATTTTTTTAAATATTGGTACAGTCGTCTCAAACAAATGGTCACAGTTTCAGCTGTTAAGCATGTTTAGTTTGTTCATGAGAAATTTCTGAGAATGTCGGCATTTCGGTTGGCTCATACCATGCAATTTTTTTCGAAATTTGGGGCATGAAGCGTGTGGCAGCGAAGTTCGTTCCAAAATTACTGATTTTCTACCAAAAAAACCGTCGCATGAGCATCACTCAGGAATTGTTGAAAGACGTCAACGGCGATACAGATTTACTTAAAAGGGCATTACTGGTGACTAATCATGGGTTATGACATCAAAACCAAAGTCCAATCGAGAGCGAAGGCTGAAAAAAAGCACGCCAAGTTCGATCAAATGTCAACGTTTTGCCCACTGTTTTCTTCGATTACCGTGGCGTACTGCATCAGAAGTTCTTCTCACATGGCCGTACGGTCAAGGGGTTATGCGCCGCTTGCGAGAAGCAATGCGAGAAAAAGAAAACGTCCGGTATTGTGGAAAAACAATTCATAGTTTTTGCATCACGATAATGCATTTTCTCACCCGTCATTGCTTTTTTGTTATTTTTTGGCCAAAAACAACAACGTAATCATGCTTCAGCCACCGTATTCACCAGATTAGGCCCCCTGTGACTTTTTTTCATCCCAAGGTTGAAGGGACCAATGAAAGGACGATGTTTTGCGACGATTAAGGCGATAACAACTGAATCGCTGAGATTGGAAAAAAAATGTGGCATAAGTGTATTATATCTGAGGGGGAGTACTTTGAAGGGGCAAAATATAAATTGATGAATAATTAAATATTTTTTGAGAAAAATGGAAATTTGTCTTATTTTTTGAACGTTTTATGGTATACATGAGCAGCCTGTACCCTCGCAATTCAGTAACACTGAAATGGAAAAGAATAGGCCGAAGAAGCAGACACCATTGCTGGCCAATCATTTCGAAGCATTGAACAAGAACGACATGGGTTGAAATAGCACATCCTACTTATTCTCCAGAATAACAATGATTCCTTGGAAACACTTGAGACAACATATGATGGCTCTGCAATAAATAACCAATGTTATCCATATCCTATGTTTTCCATTAATTTCTGTTTCTCAATACTGGTAAGTCCTAGGAAGCTGAAATTTGGTATATAGGTGCTTCTTAGGTCTTAAATACGCACTAAGAAAATATTTTCAAATATTCTAATTGGGGTGCCCCCCTGGGGGGTAAAAGAGGAGCGTTTACATATGAAAATTACCTTTTCATCACTGTTTCTCCGTACCGCTATATTTTCAGA